AGAGAGAGAGAGAGAGAGAGAGAGAGAAGTGGCGAATCAAGCCGAATAGCGACTCGTTACACTTTTGCCACTTGATAGTTGTTGGCGCGATAGTTTTCCGATCTCCCGACTCTGTCGCAATAAACTCGACTCGGTACGGGTCGATATATCTGCCCGGCTCGATTCGAGCCCGAGCTACGAAACGCGGCGGGCATTGTCTCTTCAAAACGCTTTGTGCGGCGTCGGCGAGCGGCGAGCTGGAAACGAATCCGGCGTTTGACGCGTCGGATCAAGTCGTTTCTATAAATTTTACGCCAGTTCAGCCGCGGAATGATAATCGCCCGCCGGGCACGACGACACGTTCCAATAAGCATCGAGCTCTCCTCTCCGATGGTGCAATAATTGAACGGGATCGGGGGATTATTTCCTCGGATAATGCACTCACCTTGCGCACAATCGAGGTACCGAGATGCAAGGTTGAATGGCGCGGCAAGAAGCTTACTTCACAATGCAACTGTCAGGACCTTTGCCTCTCTGGTCACCTGGCTTAATTAATTATTAATTCCGCAGCGTTTCCCCCGGATCCGCGGGGAGTTTTACTCCGAGAGATATTTTATCTCACTCTTTCGGAGGTTTTTCATCTTTCGCACGGTACTACGTCGAGGCGAGCCATTATTTTCACACACCTACAGAAAAAATTTCCGAATCCAATGCTATCACCCTTCAATGTATCGTAAAATAGGATCGATATAGCGCCAATCTTATTTATTGTAGAGAAAGGAATATTTTAATCTTAAATGAAAAATTCTAAAATTTAGAATAAAATGACAGTATCATCTTTCGTCGAATATTGCGGTGCCAATTTCGTGCGTTGTAAGATGGAGGGAAAATTTATTCTAAACGCAAGAATGTATAAACTTGCATCTATATAAGTTACTCTTGTCCCAATATAGTGAGTCAATCTTTTTTAATCCGATAGAGAAGAATAGGAATTATTGATTTTATCTTGATATCGTCTTATTATACTAAACGAGATTGTGAGAAATATAAATGCGACAAGAATATTTTTGTCTCGGCAACAGAAATCCTTTCTGAGGGTGTATTTACACTCGCTGCATCATCAAACTGAGCCCCGTGATATTGAAATCTTTACTTTAGATCCGAACGATGTCCTACTTTCCGTTCTACTAACGTTATTAGAATAGTCGAGGAAGCGATACATCTCGGACTAAATAGGGCTGAAACCTCACGCATTTCCGCGCCACGTGAATCGAATTATAAATTATCGGGCCGGTATCGATATTGCACGGACGACTCGTGAGACTCTATTCAAGCGAGAGACAATTCTCGGGTCTAATTGTCAACAATCAATCCTAGCGCTCGACAATTGGCGATCGCAAAAACAACCTTCCTAAAGAGCGAATAAAATTGTTTCTTTTTTTTTCTTCCGGCCGTGAAAGTACCCGTGCCGGCCGAATAATTACAACCTTTTTCCATTCCCGCGGCGAATCGTTGGAAACTTTTTCGGTTTTGCTCACTGCTTTCTCCACTATTCTTTGAAATTTTCTCGTATCGCCTCCCATGTAGAAATATATTAAGAGATGTACATTACTTTATCGGTTTTTATCAGAAATAAAGCCAGGAATAATTATCGAGCGACAGTGATGGCGAATTGACTTAAGAAAAATGACAGTATGTGGTACAGAATGATATTATAACCGATTACGAAAGCAATTTAACCGAGGTGCTAATCGCGCTGGCCGAGAACACACGGCTGTTTCTCCGTATAGCGTAGAAAATCTCCAAGGAGATTTCTGAAACTGAATATTTCCTAGATCATGTTTTACAATCAGTGAAAGGTTTTCAAGGCAGAAATAATATCGCGAAAGTAAGACAAATCTCCGATATAAATTCAACAAGCAGCGATCTACGCATTACTGTAATAACGTTGAGTAATTCGATCGCGATAGCGGCCTACATCGAGAAAGCTACATCCGAGAATACAGTAAATAAAGGACATGGAGCCGAGCAAAGTGTAACCGAGTGGATACGGAGGGATGTTATCAAACCGGTTTCGCGAAACAGATGTACTCGCGCGATAGACGTATTTAAGCAAACGAAGCGGGTACGATATGTACACTGATGCCTTGCCATATTATCTTAAGCACGAATTCATATGGGAAGGCATCAGTGATGCCTCATGGTGTACAGTGATGGACAGGAAGGTTGCAACACTTTTTTTTCAATGAAACGTTTAGGAACGTGCACGATTCAGGGTTACGTTTCCCAAATCTTCTTCTCCGAGGAATATTTTACCCGATGGCTATTCCGAGACCATCTCGAACGTTTCCGATCTACTTCTCGAGGGAAATTTTCCCCGGAGAAAATGTTTCGGGACCTAAGGCCTGAATCTAAACGCGCGTTTCTAAACTCGTTTGAAAAACAGCGTCGCGTCTGTCCGTCACCGTATGACGGATAACAGAAGGTGCGCGGTAATCTCGCGTTACCGTTCGCCCGGCAGAAGTACAGTGCAACCGCGATATAACGGGGCGAGTCCCTTCTTTGGCGAGCCACGCGCTCTCTCGCGAGGTCTACACGCCGATTCACCATCGCGGCGCACCGTGGGTGTGGCTCCGGCACGGAGCGAACAGGTTCTCTTAAAAAGTGCAAGTGCAATCGTTGCCCTGGTGAACGTGCTCGGCTCGATGAAGCGGAGCGTGCGACTCTCCACGTGGGGAGTCGGCCGTGAGCCGACCTGTCAAGCGGCGGTTCTCACCAGCGGCGCTTACCGAATCGCGCGCCCTGACATTTCGCCTCGACGTCATCGGCGCACCGCATTTTACACGCGTGCGACTCTTTTCCATGCCAACTAGCAATTTTCCCCTCTCGCCGTGACGCAATTGACGCGACTCGACCGCGCTACCTTGCTGAATTACGATATCGTTAAGTTAACTGGCTGATTAACTTTGGCCAGATCGAAATTGTATATTATTTCCGTACATATTCGCGCGAGGGGTTGAACCGCTGAGGGCATTGTGGTGTACAGATTCGCGGCATTACTGGGCGTTACTGCACGGAGAGAATTTTCTCTTATAAAATTTACCCTGATAATTGATGTAATTGTGGGACAGCGTACACTGAGAAAAAGTTCCATCGGCTAAACCAATTAAATAGTATGTCCGTTTGTTATTATGTAATTGGATTATTCGTTTAATCGGACATTTTTCTCAGTGTAGCATTTCGAAAAACTTTATGAGAGTTTCTTCAAATTTTACCATACATTTTACTAATAAGATGTACTCTCTAAAAATTGACCGGCGAATTATCACTGAAAACAGTGAATAGTCACTGATTCGCGGTTAAGTTGAAAATCGCAGCCTGTAAATCGGTGACTATTCACTATTTTCAGTGACAATCCACTGATTGACCTTTAGAGAGTATATTAATTATAATTACTAGTAAAATTTCAAAAAACTCCCATAAAACTTCTTCGAAATGCCATGCTGTCCCACGATTACATGATTTTCAGGATACACTTTAAAAGAAAATTCTCTCAGCGTGGGCATTAGTTTGGGCCTTGCTGGGACATTACAAAGATAAAATAAGATAAGATAAAGTAATGCCTAAGCATTAGTAGGCAGTGGTGATTTTAGTCGGCGGTCTACCCCTCGTATTCGAACTTGCCGATCAATTTTTCTATTCAGACAACCGGAACTTGTACATCGTTTAATTGCGTCCATGTGAACGCTCATTATCTCACCTTCTACATCTCGCGAAGACGCAGAAAGTCCAAGTAAATATGCTTAATTTTCGAGAAAGTTACAGGTTCGTTCGCGAGTCTTTCATTGCGGTCGGAGAATAATCGAAACCGCGCGGTTTCCCCTTGATCGTAATCGGTAAAGAACATCTTTGGAATTTCCGCCAGGAAGCTTGAAAGAACAGGAAATGGCAGGGAGAGTCTGATGGTTTTTTTTTCTGAAACGTTAATGATCGCTATAAGATCTAAATCTAAATTCTCTCAGGAAAGTATCGTCTCTACTTGATAGTC